TTTAGTCCAAGCACTTTCCACAATATTATACCACCAATACACCTAGATTTTTTTCCCAAATGTGATCACTATTATGAAAAGTCACTGGAACATCTCCCTAATATCAAACACAGAGAAAAAAATGAAAAAAGTATTTTGAGTATTCACTTATTCACATATTGAGAACAATGTTAATAAGGCATTCAGCTAATTTTTATCTCAATTTTTAGAGTCTTTTGATGATTATTGATAACATGTCAACTATAAATGGTTACAAAGAGACAGGTAATAGTCTTTCCATTAAACAGATATATAGGTAGATAGATTTAATACAGTTCTTAGTGGCACCCAAAAGTTTATACAGTTTTTGCCCAACCTAATAATCTGTATAATCCTTTATCCATGCAATATCTCCAAGAAAATTTACTGAAAAATTCATCTGTGAGATCACAACTTGCTGAAAAATTGGTAAGTTAGGAAGACTGTTTGGCCTTTATAAATCCAAAAAGTACATGAACTGGCTGAGTTCGTCTTTCTTCTCCCATACATCCTCTAGCCATCTTGCTAGTTGTAGCGCTTCACCATGAAGTCAATCACACTACTTTTTTACTTTTCTTCCGGATAGTTAGAAACATGAAACCACACACAGGTTGTCTCTTCACAGCTGTGATCATCATGACACTGAAACTATAGATGCATTAGATTTGTAAATCCATATTAGTCCTAACAAGCAAGCCAGTTTGTACCTGGCATTCACTATCACAAAGTTTAAGGAAATACCAGAAAAGTTGCTCTAGTGAACAAGAAAAAATTCAAGTAAGGATTGATTTTGTCACACAGCACAAGGACTTAAAAAGTCATGATCACTTCTAACATTGAAAGACAACAGAGATTTCATTTATTTATTGTCATAAATGCATATTTCTCTATTCATACAACTTAAAATTGAAGAAGGGAAAAACAGACCCTGAATGAGATAAATTTTGATTTCTGTTTCCAGTGGGTTTCAAAAACAAAACAAGAGAAAAGGGCTTATGTGATTGTTGGGGAATCCTTTTGACTTGTAAATGTGTCTTTAATGTACACATTTTTATGCATTATTGCATTATATTTTTTAAAATACTGCTTGTAGAACACATCTTTCCGTTAAATAATAATTTGTTAAGCAGTAGGTATATATTTTTTCACTCCCAAGATGTTAAAACAAAATCCAAATATATAAATTTAGCAAAGTTGAAAGACAAACACACAAAATTAGTTGCATTTATAAACACAAACGACGAACAATCCAAAAAAGAAATGAAAACAAATTTACTTACAATATCATCAAAAAGAAAAAAATACCTAGAAATAAAATTAACCAAGAAAGTGAAAGACTTGTACACTGAAAACTATAAAACATTGCTGAAAGAAATTAAAAACAAATAAATGGAAAGACATCTCATGTTCATGGATTGGAAAATTTAGTATTATTAAGATATCAATACTACTTCAAGTATAGACTAAAGGTAATCTCTAGCAAAATCCAATCACTTTTTTTTTTTAAATAGAAAAATTAACCCTAAAATTCATAAGAAATCTCAAAGGATCCTCAAATAGCCAAAACAATCTTGAATACTAGTAAATTTGGAGATCTTAGATTTCCTGATTTCAAAACATAGTACAAAACTAGAATAATCAAATGAGTGTGATACTGGCTACAGACAGACATATAGACCAAGAAAATAGAATAGAGAGCCCAGAAACAAAGTCTTGCACATGTGATCAATTGACTTTCAACAAGGGTGCCAAAACCATTCAATGGACAAAGGACAGTCCTTTCAACAGATGGTGCTGGGGAAACTGGATATACACATTCAAAAGAACAGGCTGAACATGGTGGCTCATACTACAGTCTCAACACTTTGGGAGGCCAAGTCAAGAGGATCACTTGAAGCCAAGAGTTCAAGACAAGCCTGGGCAACATAGTGACACCCCAAATCTACAAAAAAAAAATTTTTTTTAATTAGCTGGGCATGGTGGCATGTGCATATAGTTCCAGTTACTTGGGAGGTTGAGGTAGGAGAATCACTTGATCCTAGGAGATCAAGGCTACAGTGAGCTATGATCATGCCACTGTTCTGCAGCCTGGGCAACAGAGCAAGACTCTGTCTCTAATAATAATAATAATAATAATAATAACAACAACAACAATAATAAAGTTGGATGTTTACCTAACACCATATACAAAAATTAACTTAAATTGGATCAGACCCAAACATGATAGCTAAAACGCTAAAATTCTTAGATTGCTTTAACTGTTTAGCTTTTTAGCTTATTGTGATATATTTTGCTTATTGTAATGTGCTGATTAACTACTTATCTTTTTAACTTATTGTAATATCATTGTTTAGCTTTTTAGCTTATTATAATATAAAGTTTATAGTATTACAATATTTTTAATAAAGCACCATTTAGGGTAGATCTAAGAACCTATGTGACAATAAGAGATGTCACTTGCTGCCTGGTAAATATTCATTGTCATTACTTTCCACTATAAAACATGAAATTCTGAGTTTTGTTTAGATCTCAAAGTCCCTGAGCATAAACTCAGTTCTCATGTCCTCACGCTTCATTAAGAACTACAAACTAATCAATGTTTGTGGGATTGAAGCCCCTTTTTATGATTGAAGCTACTTAGGAGGCTGGAGTGCAGTGGTGTGATCTTGGCTCACTGCAACCTCCGCCTCCTGGGTTCAAGCGATTCTCCTGCCTCGGCCTCCTGAGAAGCTGGACTACAGGTGTGTGCCACCACGCCCAGCTATTTTGTGTTTTTAGTAGAGAAGCAGTTTCATTATGTTGGCCAGGATGGTCTCGATCTCTTCACCTTGTGATCCACCTGTCTCCGCCTCTCAAAGTGCTGGGATTACAGGTGTGAGCCACCGCGCCCAGCCGCCCTTTCAATAGACTGCAGGGTTTTCTACTTCTAATTTATTTGTGATAGTTTGCTGTAAACAAGACGGAGGGAAGTCTGGAGTGTCTTTCTATGAACCTGGCTGACCCTCTAATTGGACCTTGGTGGAGACGGTTACATATGCACAGAGATGAGCTTTTATCAGCCACAGAGTCTTAAAAAGACCCTCCAGGATTTCTCTTTCTACAACATTCTGGAGAATAAACATCTTCTCTGGAATGTTTGCTTACAATACTATATCAATTCTTGCTTTTAACAATCTTCTGAGAGTTGAATCCAAATAAAAGTTTGGTTATGGCTATCTTGTGCTTTTCCTTTTTTTCATGGAATTCATTTTTTTGGTTGTCCCTTTTGACATCAATCAAAAGAGGGATGTTACACTATGTTCTATTTTAGAATCATATTTGATTAGTAATAGTAGAATCCTCAACACTCTGTTGACTCAAGAATTTCCTGAAATTGGGAGGTTCGTTCCCGCTGTTTTGAATTTAGGTCTTTTTCAACTAGTATTTATGTTCAATAAACAACTCAACATAGCTGTTTTAACCTTCCTTATTATTCACGAAAGCAAAGACCACAGCTCTCAGCTTATGTGGGACAGCCAACCTGGAGGCTTTTCTCAAGGTTATTTTAAAATCTTCAGCTTTAAAAATTGTATTTGCTGAATAATTCAAATGCAGAATCTTATATGTCTATCACTTCCCAATGGGATCTTCCCAAGGCAATTCATGAAGCAGTTTGCAGCAGAAGATAAATTAAATTTTTTTTGAAAACTGTGAGTTATAAGATAAAGAGCACATCACTGTCACACACAATTAGGAGAGACAAAGATGTTACCTGCTTTAAACTTGTATTTAACAATTCTCTTCTCCTTTTTTTCCTTAGGGGAAGTGATTCAGTTAGACAAATTCTTAGTGGTAAAGCTCAGCAAAGACAGACGTCAGCCAGCTTTAGTTCAGTTGAACAATGTGGGGGTTAGGATGCTGATCCCCGCACAGTTGAAAATTCATGCATAACTTTTGACTCTACCAAAACTTAACTACTGATAGCTTCCTGTTGACCAGAAGCCTAACCAATAACACAATTAACACATATTTTATATGTTCTGTGTATTATATACAACATTCTTACAATAAAGTAAGCTAAGGAAAATAAAATGTTATTAAGAAAATCATAAGGGGGATGAGTGCAGGGGCTCACGCCTGTAATCCCAGCATTTTGGGAGGCTGAGGCAGGTGGATCACTTGAGGCCAGGAGTTCCAGACCAGCCTGGCCAACATGGCAAAACCCCGTCTCTACTAAAACAGAAAAATCAGTGGGCATGGGGCACGCTTGCAATCCCAGCTATTCCAGAGGCTGAGGCAAGATAATTGTTTGAACCTGGGAGACAGAGGCTGCAGTAAGCCGAGATCGCACCACTGCACTCCAGTCTGAGTGACAGAGTGAGACTGTCTCAAAAAAACAAAGGAGGGAAGGAAGGAAGGAAGGAAGGAAGGAAGGAAGGAAGGAAGGAAGGAAGGAAAGAAAGAAAGAAGGAAGGAAGGAAGGAAATACCTGGAGGGGGCACTTTGTATTATTTTGTTTTGGGAAAGAAAAGAAGAAAGAAAAGAGAAACAAAATGAAATGAAAAGGAAAGAAAATCATAAAGAAGAGAAAATACGTTTACTATTCATTAAGCAGAAGTGGATAATCATATAGGTCTTCATCCTCATCTTCACATTGAGGGGACTGAGGAGGAGGAGGAGGAGAAAGAGGAAGGGTTGGTCTTGCTGTCTCAGGGGTGGAAGAGGTGGAAGAAAATCTAAGTGTAAGTGAACCCATGCAGTTCAAACCTATGTTGTTCTAGGGCCAACTGCATTTTTAAAATAACTGCTTTGGAAGATCTGTGTGTATGTGTGTATATGATCTGAGAAATTAGAAGAAAAGAGGAATGAGGAGTAGAAAAATACCAACATTTCTGATGGTCAATTTCTTTTAATTACAGAGAGAATTCAGTCTTCACCAGAGTTGGCTTAACTACTCATTTTCTCAGTAGACAATTTCTAAGTGTGGGGTTTGACTGATTTTTACAGAAAGAGAATAGAAGTCTTTCAAAATTGTTGGTAAGAATGATTCACCCTTCTTGCTTTTGTTAAGAAATAATTGTCAATGTTAAATTACATTAATTTTGCTGCCTGAAATGAGTTTTGAATACTTGCTATTTCTTTCTCAGTCAAAGGATATTAAAAATGATGCCAATGGAACTCACTGATTTTAACTACAATATTTGTTGAAAACAAATATGTATATCAAGGTTACTTCATATGTCTTTTTCAAACAAACTCTCTTCCTGTGGGTGGATGTTTAACAGAATTACAGTTAGGTATTGCCAAACTTCAAAGAAAGGAAGACTTACTCATCCTTTGGATGGAGAAAGGATACATTTACCAAACCCACTTTGGTGATTGTAGATCTTTGACTGAATTGCCTTGGAGTCTAGATTTCCTTGATAAAGACTCATTCAAACTCAATAAATTACAAGAAAAAGAAAGAAAAATGGGGAGGAGGGAATGGGATCAATATTCTAAAAGTCTAGGATTCTAGTTCAGTTTAATTTTATACTCATATGATAAAGAAGAGAGGAGAAGCCTGGCTAGAAAGGTGGATGTTTATCACTCAGTTAATGTTTTTTTGTTTTTACCCAATTCATGTTCTTGAAGCTGCTACATTTACTAACCTACAATAAGTGTAGAGAGGATGAACTATACTGATAATCCTATTTATTGACCGAATTTAATACTCAGGTTTGATTTTTGCATTTTTGGATATGTTTTAAAGGTAGAGGATCTTAAATTCATATTTAAAATACTTTCTATCCTGCCTTTCACATAAGGAAAATTATCTGGAAATTGTAAGTGCTCCAGGCAAAAGTCTGGCTGTGATATGACTTCTGGGAGACACTTCTCACAAGAGGGAAGATAAGTAAATTGCTCTAAGTGACTGCTTTTTATTCTTGAGGTTCCTGGCGCCCCCAACCCCCCCACCTGCACAGTTATTAGATAAGTAAAATAAGGTTGAAGAAACATAAGGGATAGTCTTGGAGAGGAAATGAAGTTTTAAAGAGCATCCAAAAAAAGGGAGGGTTGGGGGAAGAGATCTAGAACCCTATATGGTGAGGGAGGTTGATGGGGGAAGTGGGTTTGAAATTGGGCATTTCCCCTATTCCAACTCATTTGCCTTGGATACACCTGGAGGGGCACCTGGGCTTTGTTTTATTTTGTTTTGGCATGAATTGGACAGGTACTTCCTTCCCCATTAGCTCCCTCCCTAAGTTACAGCTCCTCCACCAGCCTGGGTTCTATCAGTGTACTAAATTCCCGGGCAGTTGTCCAGCTCCCCCCATTGCAGGGACATCTCTGGTTACATCTATAGTGACAGTCCCTTGAGGTTTCTATAGTCCTGTTGCTATGGAAACACCATTTTGGCAGGATCTAAAAACCTTAAGAAAAATGCCTAAAGGTTTGAAACTTTGCTTCAGATCCAAAATAAACCTTCCTTCGGCATAACCCATTTATGTTTTTTTTAAATTAACTAATTTATACTTTAAATAATAAATTATATTAGCTAAAAATATAGTCTCTCTTATCCAAACTGCTGGGAAAAAACAATACTTCGAGGGCTTTTTTTTCTAGTTGTGCCATTTTTATAAACTTTAGAGAAGCTAGATTTAAGAAATCCTCTAGATTTTCAATTCTGACAATTTTCTTAGAAGGAACGTTCAGCTCTCAGACAAAATGAGATGCTCTTACACAGCGGCAAGAAAGTAAAGAGAAAATTAAATGCAAAGTAAGAAGGAAGGAAATAACAGAGATTAGGGCAGAAACAGTACAAAATTATAAAGCAATTGATAGATAGGTGTTGCTAGTTTTTTCTCTTGGGGTATTTATGCTCCCTGTTCCTGTAAACTTAGGTACTGTCAGACCACAGATCCCTGTTCCCGGGGAGCATGCACCAGGGAATACAAGAAAGTGGTGGTCCACAACCTTTTTGGCACCAGGGACCGGTTTCAAGGAAGACAATTTTTCCATGGACCGAGGGTCGGAAGTGAGGGGGATGGTTTCAGGATGATTCAAGCCCATTACATTGGTTGTGTACTTTATTTATATTATTATTACATTGTAATATATAGTGAAATAATTATGCAACTCACCATAATATAGAATCAATGGGGGCCCTGAGCTTGTTTTCCTGCAACTAGTCGGCCCTATCTGGGGTTGATGGGAGACAGTGACCAATCATCAGGCATTAGATTCTCATAAGTAGCGTGAAACCTGGATCTGTCACATGCGCAGTTTACAAGGTTCATGCTCCTGTGAGAACCTAATGCCCCCGCTGATCTGACAGGAGGCAGAGCTCAGGTGAGCAATGCAGAGCGGCTGTAAGTAGGGATGAAAGTTTGTTTGCTCACCTGCTGCTCACCTCCTACTGTGTGGCCTGGTTCCTAACAGGACCAGGGGTTGAGAACTCCAGCAATAAAGTTTCCAGTGAACTTGAAACTATCACTACCACCTGCTCATTTGGGACTCCCTATATTAATGGATCAACCAACAGTGAAGAAAGTTACTCTAATGGTAAGAGCAATTGTTAGTGATTATGTCAGATGCATGTGAACAAGAGCAATCCATCTTGAATAGGAGCTGGGTAAAATGAGGCTGAGACCTGCTGGGCTGCATTCCCAGACAGTTAAGGCATTCTACATTACAGGATGAGATAGGAGGTCAGCACAAGATACAGGTCATAAAGACCTTGCTGACAAAACAAGTAGCAGTAAGGAAGCCAGCAAAATCCCACCAAAACCGAGATGGCGATGAGAGTGACTTCTGGTCGTCCTCACTTCTACCCTCCCGTCAGTGCCTTGACAGCTTACAAATGCCATGGCAATATCAGGACATTGCCCCAGATGGTCGAAAAAGGGGAGGCATGAATAATCCACCCTTAGTTTGGCATATCATCAAGGAATAACCATGAAAATGGGCAACCAGCAGCCCTTGGGGCTGCTCTATGGAGTAGCCATTCTTTTATCCCTTTACTTTCTTCATAAACTTGCTTTTTCTTTGCACTGTGGACTCTCCCTCAATTCTTTCTTGCACAAGATCCAAGAACCCTCTCTTGGGGTCTGGATTAGGACCCCTTTCCTGTAACAATTACCTTGAGGAGTTAGGGGTGCTGTTGCGTGGTGAGAAGAGAAGGAACACAGCTAGAAATTCAGATTTCTTGGAGTGTCTCTTGGTGCTTCTTGATGCCTGGTAACAATGGTCACCAGGCAACTAGAGGATACACAGCCTAACAAGGACAAAGCAGTGAACATTCAGACCCTTCAGTGAAGACCTAAGTTGCCCCTCCCAGGAGAACAATGTAGATCAACCCAAGCAAGTGCTGCCTGGAGCTCTGGAGGATCAGGATTGGATGCTGGAGAGCAGAGATGATGACTATCAACTATGGCCTCAGGGCCAGTAGGGTTTGGAGCTTCTCCCACTTATTATTTTGTATTAAGTTTTTGTGGTATTTTGGCTGACTATCACCATGAAGGGACTTGGGGAGAGATGGGTGTTAAGAGGAAAGGAGGGCATTTGAGGAGTGGAAGGGGTCAACTGTTGATAGACATCACATGTGTGCTATTTCAGATGCACTCATTCCCATCTCTGACCCCAATCACTGCTGCAGAGACCCATTCCAAGGAGGTGTTGATTGGTTTTGCAGAGTCTTGCTTCTGGTCTACACGGCATTCCTCTTTCTCCTGCCCTGGGCTTCTTGGATGTGAGGGCTTGAGCCCCTTTACGGGAATGCTCTTAGTACTCAAGTGTGTATAACCTGGAAGTGGAGATGGGGAGGTAATGCTGGCGGGGCCTGTACATAAAGCCTCTTCCTTTCCAGGTAAACTATTCTGAGATATATTTCTTGAGCCTCATGAGAAGGTCCTGTGTGATCGTGTTCCCATAGTCCTGGTCAACTTAATAAAAACACAGATGGTATTGACTTTTCTTCCTTCTCTGTTTCAGTTCGCCGGCCCTTCACTTCTGCTCCCTGGGATCACCTCCCAGATGAATTGCTTTCACCCTGTCCTTTGTCTTCCCAGCTGCTTTGAAGGAAACCCAGTCTAGGACACTGATCTTCGTAACAGAGCATTAATTTCCTCTGGCCACCCAGGGCGGCATTCATTCTTAACTTCCTTTAGACATGCTTCAATGCAATTTGGAGTTAGTGTGCTTGAATAAGCCAATTCTACTTTGGAGAATTAAGGCTGGCACTTTTCCCTGCAGAGGACTTTCTTCTTTGCTGACCTCAATGCTAATGGCCTCATTTATGTCTCTAGTTCTTGTTCTCTGGGGGCTTTGAAATAACATACCCAATTTCTTTAAAACAAACAAACAAAGATCTAGCTAGTCTTTTGACATTAACCTTGTTCAGAAGGTGCCTGGTTAATATCCAAGATTTAGCAATTAACTAGTATATTCTATCTAGTATTCCGCTTTACCCTTTTGTTGCTGCATTTATTTTATTTGCTGTTTCACAGAGTCTTTGCAACCTTGTTTTCTTCCCTTTAAATGACCGACTATTTTCTTTGGCATGGCCCCAGAGAACAGTAACAGTTAAACTTATTGCTATGTGAAAGCGCTGCATCTGTTTAGAAGTTGCTCTGAAGGCCGTGAGAGCAAGCGACCTGGATGATAGGAAGTAGCCCCTGGAAACTCACAAGTTTTTTTTTTCCCTGTCTTTCTGCCAGGATGCTGGTTTTTCCTCAGCTAATAGTCATTTGCAATAGGGTCAAGATTTATGCCAGTTGGAATCTCACAGGATATCAGTCACATTGCTTTCTTACAAGCAATTGCTTACCCTTATAAGAAAAGGAGCAGGAACATTGAAAGGAAAATGACATATTTAGCTTAGGGTTCTGCATGACAAATGACTCTTGATAACCTTCCCAGGTCAATTCTGGGAGAGTAGACAAAAGCAAAGAAAACAAATCGACTACAGACATCGACATTCATCTACTCAAAGAAAGAACCAGTCTTTGTGAAAAACAGAGTAAACTTCAAAAGAATCCAGCAATTGCCCTGAACTGAGCCATAAAGAGAAATTAGAAATCGAAAGTTGAAAATTAGGAAGCTCAAGAGCGAATCTGAGGACTGATGTGTTCCACACATTACCTTCAAGAGTGTTTAGTTTAAACAAAGGATAGCTCACATCATTAAATGGTGAGTGACTGTGGTTTCAAAGTCACAAAAAAACTGTAAATACAGATTTCTCAAGTTGAAAGAATCGCAGGATTCCGTAACATTGACCTCAGGTTGGGGGATAGGTTCAGAAAAACTGGTAAAATTTGCTCCGCTTTATTTTATTTTTTTAAGTTCCTGGGATTTGTAGGTTTGTTACATAGGTAAACATGTGCCATAGTGGTTTGCTGCACCTATCAACCCATCACCTAGATATGAAGCCCGGCATGCATTGGCTCTTTACCCTAATGCTCTCCCCACCCCTACCCTCCCCTGACAGGCCCCAGTGTGTGTTGTTCCCGTCCCTGTGTCCACATGTTCTCATCGTTCAGCTCCCACTTATAAGTGAGAACATGCAGTGTTTGGTTTTCTCTTCCTGCATTAGTTTGCTGGGGATAATGGCTGCTAGCTTCATCCATGTCCCTGCAAAGGACATGATCCCATTCCTTCTTATGACTGCATATTATTCCATGGTGCATATGTATCACATTTGCTTTATCTAGTCCATCACTGATGGGCATTTGGGTTGATTCCATGTCTTTGCTATTGTGTATAGTGCTGCATATATCTTTATAATAGAATGATTTATATTCCTTTGGATAGATACCCAGTAATGGGATTGCTGGGTCAAAATTTGCTCCACTTTTCACCTTATTATCAAAATTAGAATGTTCTCAGAGCATCACAAATAATATATAAGAACATTTCTAAATATGGAAGGACATTTGGTGTTTACCTCATCTGCACGCATCTCATAAGAGTTAAGAAAAACAACCAGAAACTCAGAAGCCTTAGAGTGGGGTTTAAAAATGGCAGGGTTTGCTTTGAGAATCCCCTTATTAAGACTTGCTATTCTGGTTGTATTAGCACAGGTTTCTGCCTCCTATATTTTTTTCCTTATGAAACATTTCTTTTACTTCCAGGACAATGGTTGGATTCTGCTTCACTAGTAGTCCATCTCAATGAATCGGTTCCACATATTGCCTTCAAGATTAATTTACTTTTTCTTCTCCGGGACACAGGTAATAACATATCTGACTTTTATTCAGCTTGATTTCAGCCTTAAATCCTTCTTTGGTTATTTTATTTCATTTTTATTTGCCATATTCCAACCCATGAGAAGGGATAATCAATATGATTTTACCTTGAGATATTTTTAAAGTTGTAAACAAGCCCAATAGGGAGTGACCTTCAAAAAGACTTTTATCTTATGGAGACCAGAATTTAAGAAGCAAGACAATGTGAAATTTCCCAGGTTCAATTCCCTCACCAGGTTATACAGAAACACAACCAATGACTGAGTTATCACTAGGGTCAACAAGGACCTCTATAGGAAACATAGGTTGCAATTTTAGAGACCAAATACTATAAAAATCTTTCTTTCTCATTTCATCAGTGCAATGGCCCTTTGGCAATTAAAACTTAAAAGATGTAATCATTATTTTAAAAAATACGTTTGGTTAATTAAGTCAGTGATTTAATTCAATGACAAATTCAGTTGAATTATTTTCCATTGTGTAAATAAAATAACTGGCTATTTAACAGAACTTTCACATTGTAAAAATAAAGTAGCTGGCTGATTGACAGAACTTTTCATTTTTCAACTGGAAATACAGGCATCATATATAGATACAAAGCTGGAATCAAATGAGCTGATGATTACTTTTTGAAGATTACAAACATTTCATTCTTTTCACTTAAATTCACTAAAAGAAAAAAGTTTTACATGCAACTGCTATCACACACCTGTCACTTTAATGCTACAGAAAATGTCAATATTTTCTGTACCTCAAATTACATTCTTTCTGCCTAGAAAGCACTTTCTGGGAGTACAAAGAATATTTCCTTAATGGTTTATACTGTTTTATAAATTCTTCTCTTCTACTCATTTATCCTTCCATTTTTACCAGGTTTTTTTCTCTGTTTTACATTTTCAGCGTTCAGAAAACCCAAATAGAAAAGCCACCAAGCTTACCATTTCAACCAAGGATAAATATAAGAACATCCCAGCAGTGACTGTGAAGATCCAGTCTTGAACGCATGGATCAGCTGACACGGAAAGGCCAATGTATAATCCTATGAAGGCAGTTAGGGAACTTACAAAATTCATCAGGATGGCAGTCTTCATAGAAAGTCCGGAGCTTAAGAGCACAGCAAAGTCTCCTGAAGTTTAAGAGGAAAGGAAAATATAATTATCATTCAATGGAAGATGCCTTTGCTAAAGTAACACACTATTAGCTATTTCAAATGTCAGCACTGGAACCAATTTTATAGGTAGAGTTGAGTGATCAGTAAATAAAATGCTTTCCTATATTTCTCTAGAATCTGTAGCCCATTCATCGTACTATTAGGAAGTTGCATTTCAAGAGTTCTATTTCTTTGGCTGCTCCTAAAGATCGTATATACAAGAGGTCTGTGACATATTCTTGGGTTCTTGATATCCTGTGACATTTCCAACTTAGATAAATGCAAAATAGTCACTCGCTGTCCCAGGGTTTCTAAATCTTTGGGCCTGGAAATTTGCCAGGTGAAATCATGACGCTATATGGGCTTTTATTATTTACTTATGCAGAAACTGCTATGGGGAGAGAAAACTACTTAATATGAGATTTTTAAAGCATTGCAGAAGTTGGTTAGGAGACAAATTTTTCCCTTTAGAAAATGATTATAGGAAAATCATCTCATTGTCTCCATGCCTTCCCTCCAAGAGAAGATTGATCTGTTAGTAAATCTGAGTGCATCTACTTCTTAGTTTGGGGGATTGAGACTAAAATTCAATAAAGAGACAGCTTGGGGACCCAGCTTTCCAGTTCCATTGCATAACTGTTCCCACGAACAGGGCTTGAAACATCCCTGCTGGCCTGCTGCAGACTGTCACACTGCCCTGTGGTTTTGGGTTGAGGATTGGGGGCTACATCACTGTTGTAGTAGCAAAACTCAGGACCATAGATAGGGGATGGCTTCCAGACCAGGTGCATTTTGATGTGCCCAGGAAGGACCTTGGATAAACTGCTCCAAGAAGGATAGGTCAATAATGAGTCAGTGTCAGGACTTTGAGCAACGGACTCCAAGCACAAGAGGGCAAGAGTTTCCTAGGGACAATGTAGGTGCAAAAGTGGAAGCAGAGAGACTGTGAAGAGCCCTCTCCCTTGGGAGCCTATGCCAGACCAGCCTCTACTATTTCTGGGTCTGTTTCAGAAATGTCTGTTCTAACCCATCTTGTGTCCTGGGAGGCAAAGAACAGGGCTATATTGTTCTCACTTATTTGTGGGACCTAAAAGTCAAAACAATTGAATTCATGGAGTTAGAGAATAGAAGAAGGTTACCAGAGGCTGGGAAGGGTAGTGGGGTGATAGGGGAAGGTGGAGGTGAGGTAAAGATGGTTAATCACTACAAAAAAAAATTAGAAAGAATGAATAAGACCTAGTATTTGACAGCACAACAGGGTGACTATAGTCAATAATCCTTTAATTTGTACATTTAAAAATAACTAAAAGAGTATAATTGGATAGTTTGTAACACAAATGATAAATGCTTGAGGGGACGGATACCCAATTTTGCATGATATGATTCTTATGCATTACATACCTGGATCAAAACATCTCATGTACTCTATTAATACATGCAACCACTATGGACCCACAAAAATTAAAAGAAAAAAAAAAGTTACAGGGCAACTAAGAATATCCAGAAAAAGAGATTTATGAGCATCTGCCACCACACACCTGTCATTCAATGCTAGGCTTGGCTTTAAACATTTTGTATAAGTCAGGTTGATGAAACCATGGTTTGGTTTTTTGTTTTTGTTTCTGAGATGGAGTCTCACGCTGTTGCCCAGACTGGAGTGCAATGGCACAATCTCAGCTCACTGCAAACTCCACCTCCTGAGTTCAAGCAATTCTCTCACTTCAGCCTCCCAAGTAGCTGGGGTTACAGGCCTGGGCCACCACACCTGGCTAATTTTTTGTTTTTAGTATAATGTATAATCCTATGAAGGCAGTTAGGGAACTTATAAAATTCATCAGGATGGCAGTCTTCATAGAAAGTCCAGAGCTTAAGAGCACAGCAAAGTCTCCTGAAGTTTAAGAGGAAAGGAAAATATAATTATCATTTAACGGAAGATGCCTTTTACCCTGTTGGTCAGGCTGGTCTCGAACTCCTGTCCTCAGGTGATGCACTTGCCTCGGCCTTACAAAGTGCTGGGATTACAGGTGTGAGCCACCATGCCTGGCTGGTTTTAATTTAAATGTGATTTTATCTTACTGGCCCGTTTGCTGACGTGATGGATAAAGTTTCCCTCCTAATATTTTTCTCACATTTAATATGTAGATTTTAAAGTCCTTGTCAAAATTCTTTAAAATATTTCTCTGAATGACTCTCTCCCATATGGAATTCTCTGGAATCCAAATAGAGTCATTTCTGGCCCTGGGAAACATCACAAAGGAGTTTAACTGGATTTTATTCCAAGGTACAGGAGTTATTTTTCTAGTCCTCCTCTTCTTATGGTTTAAATAAATTATAAAAGGAAAGTGCTCATCTTTCAATCCTAGGTGAGAAAAAGAATCCTAGTAAACCATAGCTGGAAAGATGTTATTTCTTTCTCAACAAGCCAGAAACAGTAATTCCATTGCCGAACTTACCCATTTCGTGTGGGATTTCATGACACAAGATAGCAATCGTGGTGGTCACTCCTGACTCGGATGATGAGGAAAAGGCTGCTCCTATGGCTAGGCCATCTGCAAAATTATGCAGGCTGTCCCCAACCAGAATCATGATTGCTAACAAGCTAATGACTTTACCTAAAGAACCAAATAAACACAGAAGAAGCATTAACAGAGCATTACATATTTCACCAAATCCTTCAAAACCAACCAGCTTTCCCACCTACCCTTGACATTCTTATATTCCATCTAATGAAATAGCATCACTTTGTTTCAGCAAAAGTCAGGACTAGAGATTTAAGTGTGATAACCAACACACTTGAACGTATGGTCACTGTTTTGCTAACTGGTCTAATAAGATAAATTATATGCTGGCATTCCTTATTTTAACATCTTATGCAGTTATGCCTAAAGAAGAAGGTAAAAACCATGTTGTAGCCTCCCCAAATACCACTGATGACCTTCCCGTCTCTCTTTTGTAATGCATTTCAAAATAATTTAAGAACCTTGCTATAGACTAAATGTTTGTGCCTCCCCAAAATCCATACGTTTAAACTTACTCCTCTAGTGTGGTGGTATTAGGAGGTAGGGCCTTTGGAATGGAATTAATACCCTTATAAAAGAGATGCCAAGGAGTTCCCTTGCCCCTTCTGCCACTTCCCGCTGTAGGAAGGTGCCATCTACAACCAGAAAGTTGGCTCTTGTCTTGCACCTTGATCTTGGACTTCAAGGCTCCAGGACCATGAGAAAGAAACTTTTGTTGTTTAGAAGCCATCCAGTAGCTTTACCTAAACTACTTTGGTAGTTTGTTGTAGCAGACTGAGTGGGCCAAGACAAACTTCCCAGGGGAATGTCATTAAAATGGAGTCTATTTCGCAAAGCTGTTCATGTGAGTTAGACTTTCTGTGTCAATCTAGGGCAGTGTGCTTTCTGTCATTGTGTGATTGTTTTGTTTCCCTTTCTGGTGAGTGCTAATGACTTCCCTGAAGCACCCCATTCACTCCCCACTGTGACTTCAAGAGAACCACAACCAACATTTCTGGCCCCATAATTAGCTTTGCAATAATTACTCAATGTTTTCATCTTCCTGCAAGATAACTTTCAGCACTAGGCCAGTTAGATGTTGAACAAGATAAAGAGAAGCTTCCGTTTTCATGGAATTCTATTACATAATATATATTATCTGGTCAGGAGAGAGCCAATGAAATAATTTTGATCATAATTGGATTCAGCTTTTTAATGGACAGAATTTCTGTTCTGAAAAATCTAAATTGCATGTTAGTATAACTCAATTGTAGAGTTGAATGACTCACAAGCAGAAAAAGTATTTCAAGCACAGTACTTATTTTGGTAGTAATCTGCCTAGGTAGATCATTTGATAAGAATAGTCATTAATCAATTGTCATAGTCTAAACTTTCATTAATTATTCGGTTGCATATATATTGTGTGACAGGTGTAAGTAGTAGTTATTGTTACTGTTAGAACTGAATGCATAATGCCTTTTTTTTTTTTTTTTTTGACAGAGTCCTGCTCTGTCACCCAGGCTGGAGTGTAGTGGCGCAATCTCGGCTTACTGCAAGCTCCGCCTCCCAGGTTCACACCATTCTCCTGTCTCAGCCTCCTGAGTGGCTGAGACTACAGGCACATGCCACCATGCCTGCCTTGTTTTGCTGTATTTTTAGTAGAGACGGGGTTTCACCATGTTCGTCAGGCTAGTCTCGAACTCCTGACCTATGGTAATCCACACGCCTCAGCCTCGCAAAGTACTGGGATTACAGGCATGAGCCACTGCACCTGGCCTGAGTGCATAATTCTAATAATTGTGCTCAATAAAAATAGAAAGAGGATACTTCCTGGTTTCTAACTGTTACACGGCCTAAGACTACAAGGGAGATTGCTTTTTTTTTTTTTTTTTTTTGAGACGGAGTCTCGCTCTGATCTCAGCTCACTGCAAGCTCCGCCTCCCGGGTTTATGCCATTCTCCTGCCTCAGCCTCCCGAGTAGCTGGGACTACAGGCGCCCGCCACCTCGCCCAGCTAATTTTTTTGTATTTTTTTTAGTAGAGACGGGGTTTCACCGTGTTAGCCAGGATGGTTTCGACCTCCTGACCTCGTGATCCACCCGTCTCGGCCTCCCAAAGTGTTGGGATTACAGGCTTGAGCCACCGCGCCCGGCCAGGAGATTGCATTATAATGTGGTTTGCCATCTTATTTGGGGAGTATGAATTGATTCATATCATATCCCACACTGTGATATAAATAACTTCAGTAAATTGCAGATAGAGCCCAAATTAACATCTAGAAGATAGCTCCATTTACTGTGTTTCAAAGATGGCCTGTGCATTTTACTTCTAAAAATCATGGATATTTAGAAATATCACTGTAAGACTAACTTACATCCTTCTTGTGGTTCACTAACTTATTTTAGTCTTTGCTAAAAAGGGGAAAATTTCAGGCAACAGCCATAAGAACAAAGAATAAATACTGAATTATTGAATTCAG